TGTTGAGTCTGGTCTCCCTATAGCTGTATTCCCTCAATGGTTTGTCATTGATCACAAGACACAATATATTCGCTAAATCTGGCTTCACTGATTCTGGTACTCGCTGTAGTCATTAATGGCTGTAATCGAATTTGCCGAAATAGCAATCACTCAAAAAGAAAATCGCTTACATTGACAATTGGTGAAAATATGTCGCGCAAAGGTCGTTCGTTCAAATGCCGTTCACTGAGGTGTCGCAGAACCATTTATCATATCTATTCCCTAACTGTTCTTGCCCCACCGCCCGCCCTCGGCGTGTCATATGCTCTGTCTGCTGGTCGCGCGACGCACCTGTGCCCGCGATCTGTGTAGGTCTATCGACCCCGCTTGCCGCGGTCTCCCCAACATTGACACCCCACCCTGCACAGCCGCCGTACCGCCCGGGGGGACGGAGCCGCGCCCGGCGGCGCCCCTGCCGCACATCGCGCGAGCCCGCTGGCGCCAGCGCGCATCCCTTTGTCCGAACTTTTTAATAACGAATAATCAATGCGGTCCGGCCAACTGGCGCCACGCCGGCCGTGGCTACGATAAATCAGACAACCAATCGGATCGCCATTAGGCATCGGCGGGGGTCACTATTAGATTATATTGTGTCGTATCGGCTGGCGGGAGCTCTGGGCTTTTAGCGGCGCGCGCGGGGAGGCGGCGGCGCCCGGCCCGCCGAGGGTGAGCGGTGGCCCGGCCGGGCCGTCTGAACGCGCGCGCGCCGCCCGCACGCCGCGCCCTCTTCATTACTGGTCATCGGCCGAGTCGTCGGCGCCGACGGCCGCCGACGGCGACGCGATCACTGATCGACGCTTATCGCTCATGGTGACGCCCTTGCCGGCCGGCCGGCCGGCCGCCTGCCGGTAGATGAGCCCGGCGGGGAGACGCTCCCCGGGCGGGGGAGACGGTCCCGTACGGGGGAGACTATCCCCGTGATGGGGAGACGGTCCCGTACGGGGGAGACGATCCCGGGCGGGGGAGACGGTCCTGTGTAGGGGAGACGGTCCCATGCAGGAGAGAGTGTAAGGTGACTAGGAGAGAACACGGTATGATGCCAGATAAGGAATCGATAGACTTTCTATTTGAGTAGAGCGGTCAATCGGATACCGCATTTTTTGGTATGCTAGCACCGAATAGCTTGCCTTCCGGTATTCATCAAATCAAGAAAACCTTACATAGTGTTTGTTTCGTGCCTCGTGCAGATCTTTTCCATTGTGTACGAGAAAATGTGTCTAAATTTGTGTTAAGTCAAATATTTTCGTCCAATTCTAGAGGATGACGGTGCTTCACATATCTCGTAGAAAATTGTTTCTTATGATTAGGTGTATTTTCTGGAGAGTTTTCCTTCAGTTGTGCGCTCCTAATATTTTGGATTAATTTGGCATACAAATGTACTATGCTTGTGTTGCTATCATAGCGAGTTGCACGCTTCGACGGTCAGCAGGTTTAGCATACAATTGCACTGTCACACTATTTCTATTATAGAAGTTGCGCATTTCGACGTTCATTTCCTTTTTGGCTCTGGCATCCTCACAAGATCCTGGTATCCTCTTTATAGCCAACACGACACAAGGAATCCCAGCAAATCATATTCTTGGATATGACATCTCTGACATAGCTATTGTCATAAGACATGTGATCCGTCGAGGCCTCGCGTGGGCATATCGTCGATCGGAAATTAGCCTGTCGAGACCGGCCTGCCTTGATCTCCACCAAAGACAATTCCATAGCCACAATTCGGCTGGAGATTAGCTGACCGTTCGACGGCTGAGCTCACTTTTGGACGGCGGGGCTGGGGATCGAACGGGGCTTCATCACAGTGTGAGGGCGGATATCTCGGTGGGTCGCGGCTTTCATACGCGGTCCGAGGTGATGTCCGGAACAAGCTAGTTACTCATATATGTGAGTTACATGTTGCCATTGACAGCTCTCCGTCAGTCCGTCAGGCTCCTGAAGTGAGAAGGATATAATGCTGGATGAATCACCGATCAATATATCTATTCAGAGCCTACTTCTAGCATGATTGCGGTGTCGTCATAACTAAGAGCGTGTACTACTGCTGTTCTCTTCCTTTGGGTGATGAGTATTCTGTATTGCAAGGAATATATTATATACCCGTTTTAGTGTTGTTCTGAGAAAAGAAAAAATAGCGCATCATCTTTTACAATGCTGATGGTGAACCTAGACTGGCATTTTCCTGGTACGTCCGGGATCGTAGCCAGCTCGTCGAATGTGAGATCCAACACCCGCGAGACCAAGCAACTCTTCCGCGTCCAATGCTCTCAGACAATTTCCAATGGCTTTCGATGATTTCCCTTCGGTGTTCTTCTGAGCGCCGTGTGTCTCAGTGCAATCTCGGTCCTCGACTGACCAACCATTGCTGAACACATCGGCTATCCGATTTCATTGGTCGAGCATTCGCAAGATCCTGTTGTGAGAAATGCTATCAAAACTAAAGGTAGTTATGTGCAGTTATGTGTTATGGTAGTTATATGTAGTTATGTGCAAGTGCATATTAAAAAAATAAACGTGACTGTTTTAATGCAAATTACGATGTGCAATGTGATTTTGTACTGTTCTACAACTTTTTTTCGCGCCCCTTGCGGCTCGATTTGTGCTAGCGGCTTGTGGTGCGGTCGAGCGTTGGAGTCTCCGTGTCCAGCGGCACAGTCTACCAGTGCAGGCAGTTCGGCCGGCCCGGTAAGACAATGCGGCCTCACACACAATACGAGCGCCGTGCGCGGCGCGACGCAAACGCTTCGAGTTCAGTGCTAACTTAGGCACCTTTACTCAACCATTGACTCATGACTCACTCATCCATAGACTTTGCGATAGTATAAACGTAGACAAAATTAGAATCCGCACTATTGTGGGTGTAAATATCAAGCCGTTGACCGCTTTTGGCCTCCTGTACCCTCCCCCTCCCACTCTCCCTCTCTCTCTCTCTCTCTCTCTCTCTCTCTCTCTCTCTCTCTCTCTCTCTCTCTCTCTCTTTCTCTTCCTCCTTCTTTTCTCTTTCTCTTTCTCCCCTCTCTCTCTCACTTCCCTACGCACACTCTTCTGTGCGACTCTCACTGACAGGCACGTCGCACACGGTATGATGTACCTAAGCCCATTTACTTTTAATAAAAATAAAGAAGATTAATCAATCTGCAAAATGAGTGCACATTTGTTGTGATCTGCTGCTAAACACTCTCCATGAAATGTGTCTTTGCCACCACCCAGCTCGTCTCTCGATCCCCACCAAATCTGAGCAGTCGCCGGCTCGGCGGCCGGTCCGTCCGCGCGAGCCGGCGGCGGCTCGGCGCCACGGTCGTTATCCGATTTGCCATATCGTTCGGCGCGTCGCCGGCTGTTGGCCAATAAGGCGTGCCCCTGCCTGTCCGACCCCCGGTGGCTCCCCAGGCGCTAATCGGGCTGTTAGCGGCCGCCACGGGCCGGCTCGCCGCTAACACGCGCCACGTGCCGGCTCTCTGCGCTGACACGCCGCCACGTGCCGCGTGATGCCGAGGTGACGTGGCGCCACGTACCGGGGTGACACAGGGGTGGACCTGTCACTCAGAGCGGGGGAAAACGGTGGAAGGCAATGTGAGTTGAGAGATGAAGTAGAAATATACGTAGTAATGATATTGGTGGTGCACTGTCGTTCCTGGTATAAAGAATGTGCTTATTATGCACACATAAGAGATGAATCGCGAGCGTCTGATGAGAGCGTCCGAAGTAGCCAGATCAGCCCATAAATATGAACTGACAGGAGTCATCGATGGAGGCATTGTTTAACTCTCACACTAATTTTTGCATTTAGTTTGATGATCGCTTTGCTTGGACTAAAGCTACTACCGCATCAGTCTGTATCGTTAATTGGTGACTGGTATTTTAAATCTTTTTACGTTTTGTTCATTTATTGTGTGTTGTGTGACGATTTTGAATGGTATACAATGTCATCGTTAATATGGATAAACTATTCTTCTCATATTTCCTTTTGGAGTCAATAAAGTGGTATTACTATTGCTGACATTTCAGGAACTAATTTAGTAAATTAATGCCGAGATACGTCAGAACTCAGAAATGCGCGTTTAGTTTAATTTTTACGTTATATAATCCCAAATCTAAAAAGATCAAAGGGTATGCTGGTTTTGAAGCCAGTTGTGAAGACGGCGTTGATCCAGAATAAAAATTAAAAACAGTTTTTATCCCTCAAGAAGAAAAAATCACAAAATGCAGTGAGTTTTCCTCATCTAACTGTTCAAACAACCACGAAGTGCCATCCCTAAATGTGCTCGGGTCGGCCCGGGCCGGCGTTCCCGGCCCGGTTCGGGTCGGCGCGGTTCAGCGCAGCCCTGCCGATCCATCTTCGGGTGGACGAATCCGGTCGCCAGCCGCTGTATACCAGAATGACTAGACGGCGCCGACGTTTCATTCGCCGAATGACAAATAATCTTTCATCCGGGCGATTTATCTTTATCATCCTTCATCGTTGTACAATAATATTATTTTCAACCTCAATATCATAAAAGCTCTTTCTCCCATAATCTTACATCATCGTGTCGGATGTCGCTGGAAGCTGATTGGCTGAGCAGAAAATACGAGCGCTACCATTGGTCGAGCGTGGCCGACTCCTCAAGGCCCCGGTTTAATCTCGGATATGGCATATAAAACATCATATTTCCCAATGGTTTCTGCATAATGCGACGTGATAGAAGAGGCGGAACGGGGGCATCCCATCAACTCAGCCGGCGAGATAAGGGAATTTTGTTAGTCGAGGTGGTTTATCGCGGCGGAACAGCGCTCGAGCCGCTCCGAATGGCTCGTCACTCAGCCGGCCGACAACTTTCCGCGAACAAGAGCCTCAGCGTCGATGAACCGTCGGGGCCGACGACGTTTTCATGCCGGCGCGCCGCCGACTGGCTGTCGACTTCATCGGCGCGATGTCGGTCACATTTCGTCCAACATTCATCGACTGTCAAACGGATGACTCGAACATCAATCTATTGGCGTATTTACATCGTATTTCTGGATATCACATTGAGGGAGAGTAGCGCTGCATGACTGGCCGCTATAGGGTTGGACAGGCGCTACGGCTTAATATAAAAGTTTTGATGACATTGTCTGTATACTATGTACAACAACGGCGGCTCTTGGGCACTGGAGGACAAAGACAATAAGTATCATCCAGCGCTGCGCGGTCTGTCAACCGAGAGGGTCCAAATCTCCCGACACAATCACCAAACACGGTCACGTCTCACGAGCACCGACCCCCGCGAGCGTCGCGACCGCGAGCACCGGATATCGCGCTAGCACCGAAACTGCGCGAGCACCAATACTCTGTCAAAGAACACATTGCAGCTTCGAGTGACTCCCTCCGCGGTCCAACGCCCCCCTCCCCTCTCCCCCTAGTATCGCGGCATCTAACACGCGCTCGACCGCGCTCGAAGGTAACATATGAACATGCTTATGTACACATAACAATGACTAGTAATAAACAGCATCTCCGGCCCGGCGTCAGGGCGGCGTGGTCACCTATTCGTCCGTCTCGTACTTGATCTTCTTGGCGGCGTGGTCCTCCTCCGAGTCGGAACATCCGGCGGTGTCGGCGGCTTCTGCTCCATCCACGGCCTCCTCCTGCTTCCTCTTGGCGGTGGCCATCTCAGCGGCGTGTCGCTTCCGCCACTTGGTCCGCCGGTTCTGGAACCACACCTGCGGAACGACAGAGAACGGGAGGCGGTTAGCACTGAGCACAGAGAATGGCACACTGTTAGAACTACTGGGTGCAGATAACTGGGTCGACTTGGTCCTCCTGTTTTGGAACCCACACCTCTGGGATGACGGAGAACGGGAGACTGTTAGAGCGGGGCACAGAGAATGGACACGGTTAGAAATGGGCGCAGAAAACGGAGTCGACCTGGTCCTCCGGCTCTGGAATCACACTTGCACATTGCACAACGATGAAGAACCGGAGGCTGTTAGAACTGAGCACAGAGAATGAGGTCCTGCATAGTGCATACTTGAAATAATTATAGCTGGGAACCTCTGGGAATGAATAGGACATCGTGAAAGAGATCAGGGAGAACTGGTTCAAAATGTTATTAGCTTGATGAGCGAGGACGCTTAAATGAATAAAGCAGCCCACCATGACGACAAATGGATGATGTATTGTTATGTAACATCGTTTTAATTCTAATACTTCCTTTCATGTTTAATTATTTTGCTTCTCGTGACATGTATGATGTTGATGTAGGATGCATAATCAAGGCGATCTAATATATTTTAATTTTGCTATTTAATTGCGCATGGCCTGTGTAAGTTTGTTCAATTTGTTCAGGATTTCAGCATTATCTGCCAGTCGTTCCCAGGCCAGTGTTTGCCGTCACAACAGTGGCTATCGAAGTGGCTATGAAATCCGTTATTCTCATGGCGGCAGAGCGGCTGAGAAATGTTGTGTTTGCTTTAGCGCCGGAGAATCTGACCCCCAGACACCGTCGGGCCTTGTTTGGACATGGACTGAACTGAGCTGCTGTTCGATAACTTGAATGATAAACTGACACTGTTCGGCTGTCGATGAAGGATTTATGACTTTGTGTTTAGGCGGATCAATAACAACGCAATACACGGGATTCTGGGAAAGCGATTTTTCTCACAGCTATCGCTCCATTAGATTGTGATCTGAGCTGCTGTGCGCGCGATAAGCCTCAAACACGTCTTAGATATGAGATTTTCATGTCAGTGTATAGCTTTACTATTTGATTTTGTTTTGAAACGTTTTTTCTCGAGACTCTCCTGCCTATTATTGAACGTCTGATGCTAGTCATGTTAAGAAGTTTGGTTAGTTTTACTTGGCAATTTATAACATTGCTTATAGTTACATCATAATGTGTTATCAACCTATTTTATAGTTATAACTATGTAAGGTCTCATAGAAATTAGATGCTTATTGTGTTCTGCAAATATCATGTACAAAAGCAGGCATGTCAATTATAGGTGGCTGCTGAAGACGTGGCACGACCACAAACTAGAACTCCAATTTATCGCGACTTTGGGAGAAAATTCGACAATCTCTCTGCTGTCGGGTCTTCATCACGGCCTCTCAGCTTCATCAGGGCGGAGACAAAAAGGGCGACCCTCGCCGGCCGATTGCCCGGCGCGCTAACGAGCGTGCGCCGGCTCTGTCACAGCTGCGCCACGGAGGCCGTGCGCCCCGCTGCCTCGCACCCCTGCCGGTCGGCGCGCACCATTGAGCCCATTGCCGGCACTCAGAGGGCCGGGGCGGGTCGGGCACTTTGCCGGCCCCGCCGACCGTATTTTGTGCAAATATGGCAAATGGTGCGGCCGCCGCACGGCGTTTTCATCGCGCTGAGCATCCGGCAATAACGCGCCGCTGGTCCGGGGGCAGCCGACAATAACGGGCCGGCGTCAGCCGATCGGCCGCGCTGCTAATCAATTGAGATGTTGAACAATTGGACCGATAAATCGAGCCGATGAACGCTGCAATGATAGTCGATGGTTCGGTGGCGCCGGCGCCGGCGGCGATCCGAAAGTTATCGTCTCGACGATGGCCGGCCGCCGGACGGGCGATGGCCGACGGAGGAAAATGAAATTTCTGCGGCCGAGCCCACAATCGACTGGATGGAATTCTGCTCAGAAACCCGTCCGCAGAGGTCATCTCACCGCCCCATTGCCACAGCGTATGATCTCTCGCCGTTTGGAGGTTATTGGATGGGATGATTGCTCCGTTTACAACTGAAAAATAGTTTGACTTGATTTTGTGAGATTTTCCTTATTTTATTTTGCTGAAAGATACAATACCTAATAAACCGGACATGTTGATTATATTGATCTGAGAAATACAATTACAAACCTATTAATAACATCATTAGCTAAATTACTGTGGTTGACATAATACCAAATGAAAGATTCGTCCAGTGCTGCTTACGCCCTGCTTGTTGTTTCCACCAGCTGCTCTAGTTACCACGAACTGGCGCTGGTAGATGACTGATATTTGTAGGTAGAATGACGTAATAATGGAAAACAAACAAGCTTTTCTGGTTGCTTGTCCCTTTATCAAAAGCAGGGCGCAGAACTCAACGAAGGACCATTTTCTTGGCGACTCTGTCAGGAGCCTTAACTCATAAGTATGTATACAGTGACTTATGAGTATACTTATACTTATGATATATAATATCATTTGACTACCTAAGTGCAGCAGAGGGTGCCGACATTTGCCGCAGTGACCTGATGCATTACATAACAGCGCTGCACTTTCATGCCGGCCAAAATGGCGCACATGAGCTGGCTGAGACGCAGGCGGGCGCGGCCGGCCGGGCTGACCGGGCTGTCTCGGGGGCCTTTTCGACACGTTCCGCTATTGGCCTCCGGAGGGGAGAGGCTCGCTTCGGCAAATTAAGGTGGATCCCCCTGCGGCCCAGCCACTGTTCGGACCCCGGTCATGTCCAGGCCGGCCCGCTCGGCCGTAAAGCGCGCCTAAAACATCATAAAAATGGCGCGAAGAGCACAATAAAGATGGCCGGACTAAGCAGGCTACTGGCTGCCGGGGCCGTAAAGGGCGGGTCACCTTATTACAGCCGTCACATGCGGCCTTAAAGAATGCGAAATCAGGCCGTAAAGGTCGACCGGGAGCGGTGAGTGTGCCGGCGAATACGGCCACCGAATCGGGAAGCCGGTTTTAATACCGGGCGGTGGGCAAATCCACCCGGCTCGTGACGGAAGCCACAAAAGTTTACTGGGATGCATTGGCTCCGTGTCGGGCTGATATATGCCTTTACCGCGTGCACAAATCAATCGCGGTCGTAATGAAGACAATAAAGTCGTCCCGATAACCGGCGACACAACGAGCCGGCCGGGTTATTCGCCGGGTTACGGCGCCACACCTGGTGACGGCGGTGGTCAGGTCAAGTGGACAGGCGACCAGAGTCGCCACCTTTGTGCGCGGCGACTCTGGCTCCCATAAACCCTGCAGGCGGCCGCTCCCTCCACCCGCAGCCCCCTCCACTCTCCCACCGCCCGAGGCTATACTGAGCGGCCCACCCCGTTCCCTTCTCCGTACACCACGCAAGTCATATCGAAGATTACCAGTGTCGATTGTGATGGATAAATCTAGCCGTCGCGTCGGCGCGGCGCGCGGCTGGCCCGGATAGGGGAGGGCGGAACCGAGGGCTGCCAGGGAGCGTCCGCCGGCCCCGACAGGATATTGCCCGCCTCCCCCGGCAGTGTTGTATTAGATTACACATCAATTAGCCGGAGCTATTGTTGTGCAAATGCCGTCTTTTCATCCTCACCACAAAGCCCCTGTGTTTCAACACAGAGCGACCCTTCACACTGCGCGGAATGGGGGAGAAGGCACAAAGTTAACCATGTCTAAGTGAAAAGGGGCCGAAATAATCGTTTGACCTAATGGAAGGCCAATTCGCCCCAAAAGAGCCATAGAGCGCCGGCCTTTGTGAGCGTCGCCAGTGTCGTCGGCAGCTGGCGCCGACGCAAAATGAACAATATCCCTTGCAAATTTGGCCGCATTATGCTCTGGCGATGCGAGCCAATTCGAGCGGGCCTGTCATGGGATGCGTCCACGCGCCGATCGGCCCGGGGCGCCAAATTAGCCGCCGAATGGCGCCAATGGCGGTCGCCACGTGCCGCTCTCCGGCATTCCCTTCCGGCTACTGGACGGAGACAATATCCACTGGCGGGGTGTGGCGACCGACCGGCCGTGGTCAGAGAGGCGGCACGTGGCCTCCGAGAGGTGGAATGCCGCCTTCAGTGAGTAGGTGATGTGTGAATTTCATCCGTTTGTATTGACGTTGGATGATATTGGATGTAGAGACATCTCGATGAAGAGGGTAGAGTCCCTCGTGATTCTGTTGAGGTCTACGGCTAGATGATTGTAATGCAATGCATAGACAGACCATTTTTATGTGTGTTTAAGGTTACCGTCGACTGACAGTCTTCTAGTGAAATTGTCTATTGCCGAAATTCAAAGGTTATAAATCTTACGTAATACGTTGCATTGACATAAATGCTAAAGCAATGGCGTCATCATAATTTTACTTAAATTTATTGTCTTTGCTTATGGTTACTGCTGAACTGTTATAAGGCAAAATCAAAATTTTGATTTTGTATTATGGGAAGATAGCACTGACAAAGATATGTTCGAAACGCATTTGCGAGGGCTTTCTATAATACAGTACCTTTGTATTTAAAAAAGTTTCACTTATCTAGTCATATAAGTGCCTTATCACTGGACCGGGGACCCGTTGGAAGCACGATGGCTTCCTCCTACCGCTCGGAATCTACCGACACCCGTCTCACTGATAACGTTGCTGAATTTGACCACTGGAGGTCTCCCTGTTTGATATTTTGACTTTTATCCCACCCTCAATCCGCGATCTACCCTGGCCCACCGCGTCCTATCCCGGCCCCGCTCCTGCCACAGCACGGCCCGGCCCATGCTGACTCCGGCCCCGGCTCCGGCGGCGCGGCGGCCATTGTGCGCGGATTAATTTGGCGTCAATCTGGCCCTCCAGGTGTGCCGGAGTCGGGGCGCCCGGCCGCGGCGCCCCGCGGCGCCCATTGTGCCTCACCGGCCGATAGCGCTAAATGCCGGATCAGCGCCGGGCGCAGGTGACTCCGGGAGCGGGGAGGGCAGGGGAGGGGTGACAGACGCACCGGCGCCACCACCGAGCCAGGCAGAGCCGCAGCGCCGCGGCTGATGGCCCTCAACAATAGCTGAGCGGCTGCAACGCTCTGCATCTCGAGAATATAACTCGGCCCAGTCGATAAGAGGCGGAGCAGTCGGGCCAAAAATGGCCGCTCCCGTGCCGGGTTGTGTTCGCTCGACTGACTCGGCCGCTCCTCACTCGGTGATATTCCTTTGAGTCCCAAAGCGGCTGTAAACGCACCGCTGACGCATATCAGCAAGAAGATGAAAAAATCTCCATCCAACTTTCTCTCCCCGTGCGTGGAGACCCAACTTCCGCGCCTCTTTCAATTTCCGAGCGGAGCGTCGTCGGCAGCGCCGCGTCGGCGCCGTCGGCGGCCCGTCTATCGTCGCCATCGACAGGCCGTCTTTCCCGGCTGAGCCGGCGTCGACGCGACTTTATTGCCTCTTTGTAACCGCCGGCCCAGCTCACTATTTAAATTCAAATGGCGGCGATATCAATCACGATGGCCTGATGCACATCGGCTCTTCTCCGTGTCTGCCGCGGCAAAATTAAACCGCAAACACAAATCAAACGCCGATAACGACGGGAGGCGGCGCGTCGCGCCCTGACGCGCGGGCGGTGCACGCGCTGCGGCTTCGTCGCGCGGGATAATTCATGAGTCCTTTGTCTTCTTATTTCGCCGGCATAGAGTAGAACTGATCCCCAATTATGGTGGGATAAACCGGAGCCGCCGCAGAGGCAATCCCCGGCGCGGCCGCGCGCCCGATGGCATCCATTCTATTGTCAGAAGAAAATTAAAAACATTACAGTGGCCGGATGATTTAGATTGAAGACACGGCCGCGGATTAGGAAGACAATTCGGAGAGATCGCGCGACGGCCGCCGCTGGCAGACCGGTCTCCAGCGATGGAGTGGTGTCGCGCGATGGGTTCAGATGACCTCGGGCTGACGCCCCGGGCGTGACCCGCGTCCGACGCCCGTCGCTGCCGGCGCGAGCGGTGCCGCGCCCCCGGCGCGGTGTCCCAACTTTCCTGTCAGCCGGCGTGCGCTCCGCGAAGCGTCGTTGTCACCGCCCGGCGCCGGCTGCCGCTCATCTAGCAGCGCACTTCATGCCCGCTTATTGTAACTCTTGCATGAAAGCCGACGGCGCGGCGCGACCACGCAGAAGGAGGGGGATCATGTTTCATTAAATCAACGTCTAATGGATCAAGCACGGGGCCGGTGGCTCCCTGCCGGCGGATGGATTGGGTGCCTTTTGGCCGAGCGTAATTCGGTGTAATGAAGTGGCCCTGGTCACCGGCCGGAACGCCCGGCGTCAAACCCCGCTGAGAGAGACGGGGAGGGGACCGGGGTCGGACAGATGACCCCACATCCGAAGTGCGAGCTGCAAATTGACGCCGCGAGCAGCGAGTCCGATTGATGACGGCCGGACGGTGATGAAGGCCCACTCTTAGTGGCGCGGGGAGCATAATTGAAAGCCGGTCGGAGCGGCGAGTTCTTCACTCGGCCTGCAAATGATACACTGAGCGGGCCGGGTCGTTACGGAGATGGATGGCTCAATGTCGGCCAGCCATTTAAGTTCTGAATTGTTAATATGGCGGCGGTAATTCTGTTTCAACGGCACGATATTATGAACGCAAAGGCGACTATCTACCCAGATTAAGTCGAAACAAAGCGGGCTACAAATGAACCTAGAAATGTGCAAGTAATTGGCTTTGTCTGTGTAGCTGGTGGATGCTGATGCAAATGACATTAACTCGGTGTCATAAGTGATAGTCCAGAATGTTGGCTTCAACAAAATGGCATATGGCGCATCCCAGTGCCAAATAATAGTTATGTTTGTAGCGGTCGAATTATATTGGATGCCACAGAAATGGTAAAAAAGCTCAGCAGGCAATCGAGGTAGATCTAACCAACTAAAAACTAGGCTTTTACCTCAGGCAAGGCAAGTGTAGTGTAAGAAGTTTGCGACAACTGATGTGTGAATAAGTGATTTTATGATGGAATAAAGAGACCTGCTGGAAGTTAATAGGATGATGATTATGTAAGGACACATAAATAGAATGATGAGGAATCATCGACATATACGAAAAAACATCATGAAGCTTTGATTTTCTTTTCACATTTAGATCGCATATGCCACTGATGCATCTACGAGTGTGCTTAAACTGAGGGCGTGTAAATATCTGAATGTGGTGTGCATGCTGGATGTCTCCAGTCTCGTCACTTCGTACATGTTTACCGACAGCCACGTATAATCATTTTTTTTGCATAATATTGTTGCATGAACTTTATGACAGAGATATCTATTTGCGCAACTTCCTCTTAGATTTCCCACGTCTTTTTACTTTCATAAAGATCAGCAATGGCAAGATTGGCAAGCGATCTTTGCTCAACTTTTGGTATTCAGTTTCATAACGCTAAAGGAGGCTGATGAGCGTTAAATTACTCATTGCCGGAAGGCTTGAGGTGTATTCAATTATAAGAATTTCAGATTATCTAAAAAATTTAGAACAAACATCCCTTCCAATGCATGTCGGTCAAACACATTACGGCCCTTCACAACTGCTTACAATTTGTTTTGGCCAAGCAAAACATTCTGCATTTAGACACTTCACAGCGGATGCACCCATCATCTTCTGTCCAAATCACCTCTCCCCGTTTGTGACCTGCCCTCCGGCTGTGACCCAGCGGTGACCTACCTTGACCTGGCTCTCAGTCATGCCGAGTGCATAGGCGAGCTTGGCGCGCTCGGGGCCGGCCAGGTACTTGGTCTGCTCGAACGTCTTCTCCAGAGCGAAGATCTGCTGACCGCTGAACGTAGGCCTCGTGTGTTTCTTCTTACCATCTCGGTCGTACGCGTTGTTGGTCGCTGGAATGCACAGAGAACACCCACTCAGTTAAGCTGACTGAGCGGTTGAGTAGCTCAAGCTGGACTAGTGGTCGGCTCTCAATCAGCATTGACATCTAGCAGTGCTGTCAGACATGTGTGACATTTGATCCGACAGGAGCATGACACATTGGACAGGCTGATTGGCTCCGAACAATACGCCTCATATCACTAATGACTGCCCACTATAGCGGCCAATACAGTCATTGTGTGTCAGCACGGATTATCCAATATCCTTAATTGGTTGATCTCGGCAATCACTTGGCCGTCCCCTTCTTTTCATTTACAAATATAATTCACCCCGCGGCCCACAACCCCTCTGCCGTTATCGCTCGTTGCACCCTGGTTCTCAGAACGAGAGACCTGTCAGGTGGGAGGGAAGTCCTCCCAACCCTAAACGGTCCCCCTTACAGCCCCTCAACGTTAAAAGTGACCGCCCCTGCCGTCACTCGTCACTCGTCCCAGCCCCACCGGTGCCGTTTTGCTCTTGCAGTCGTTCGCTGGCGATACCCGGTATCGACTGGCCTAATAAAGCCTAATTCCCGGCTCGCCGTTCAAACACCGCGGCGCCGACGGCACACAGAATTAGCGAATAATAAACAGGAGAGCCAGTGAAGCGGGCCATAAAACGTCGGTCGTCGACTCCGACGAACCGGGCCCGTGCCGTGGCGAGAGCAGCACGTGCGCCCAACAGGCCGCGTGTGGCGCGGACCGTGCGACGACAAACGGGTGGCAGGTGGACGCCGGTGCGTGAAAACGCTCTGGAGATGTTTCGGTGCTGGTTGAGAAGCCATCGAAGACGTCATCCAGAATTACATTTAAAACTTGCTCAAACCTTTTCGAAATAATTATCCGCGTTTTCTTTATCAAATGAGGCAATTCTCTAAATCATAAATGACAACAACTATTGAATCTATGAACCAACTGCGCTTTGTAAACGAGGACCAGCCATACCTATTGAGCTGAATTTTACATGAATAGAATTCGCAAATTAAATAATTAATCACTTCTTCCCCCCAAAAAAGACTCATAACATTCGTCTATTGGGAGTGAAATTTACTTGACTTACGTGGGAGATTTTTATTCGAATGGTCGGCTAACTTATTAAGATTTTAATAATAGGTTTTGTCAAAGCCGCATCTATTAGAGCCATTGCACACGTTTTCATCTCAACCAATTAAACCGCATGAAGCAGCGATTTGTTTCCTTCTGGGTAAAATAGTGGTTTGAAGATGACCTGCAGTCTGCAGACGCCAAGCTTTATATTCACCAAGGCTTGAATGTAAGGTCCTAGCCACAATGCATCCGGCGAATGATGCTATGTGTATTGTGTAACCACATCCCACGGCAGACAATCAGCGACGGTCACGGCCCATCCGGAGCCGAAGTTGCCCTCTACCCCTTCCCACCCGGTCTCATGGCCCGATAAGGAGCACTATCCCGCCAAGTTGTCCCCGGCCCGAGCTGCAGCACCCCGCCTCGAGCTGTGACAGCCTGGTCTGAGCTGCGGCAGCCCCCGGCCCGTCGGTGGTTGTGGGCGCGACGGTCGGGAAAGTCGGCCCCGAGTCGAAGCTCGACTCAGCGCGGAGCGGCGGGTGATGTATGAGAATGAGAGCTCGGTGACGTATGAGACATTATTAGCATTCAATTTGATCTGTATTGCGTGTTTTTGGTAAAATGCTCTTTCAATGAAGAAACCGAAATTGTTTCAATCCTAGCTCCAGAAATTTGCCCGGTGTCAGCATGAAGAGCATGATGAGCAATATATGCGAAATTACATCGGCCACTGGCCAACAGAAAATCCAACGGTTCGGCACTCGGCAGATTATCCCTGTGCCATCAAACCATCAGATAATATCTACGGGAAATCCACCTGTCCCAACCTACTCCTCCTCACCCCACCATCCCTCCACATCTCCCCCATGGAGTGATACACACCTGCCGACTGACCTGAGAACCTCTCCACCCCACCCCATCCCTTCTAACACCGTACCACCCGTCCCGTCTGCCTATATGGAGTGATACACACCTGCCGACTGACCTGAGAACCTCTCCCGCCAGAAGACCGGGTTCTGGATCATGCCCTGCAGGCCGGGCCAGGCCAGCGGCGACGGCCGGCCGAACTCTCCCAGCTGTGGTTTTCCGAGCGGTGAGCTGTTGAGGTAGACGCCGCCGGCAGCCAGCCGCGGCCCGAACGCCAGCTGGCCCGGCGAGGGTCGGTTCAGGATGCTGTCGATGCCGTGTGGGATGGAGCTGGCGACTGGTGAGGTGGTGCCACTGCTGGTCGGGGTCACGCTGCCGCCGCCCGTGTGGGTGCCCGCCGAGCTGCTGATGCTGGTACTGCCGATGCCGCTGGCCTTGCTGTATTGCAGCATGGCCTGCTTCATCTCCGTCATGGAGTGCAGCGCGGCCAGCGGCGGGCTGCCCAGCATGAAGGCGCCCTGCTGCGTCGGGTCCATGTTGAAGAAGGAGAGCATTGAGCCGGAACTGGAGACGGCCGGCGCCGCGCTGAACTCGAGCATGGCGTGCAGCGGGCCGCGCTCCGAGGGCGCGCTCCACTCGGGCGCCGCCGGCTGGTCCTCGACCGACGACAGCGTGCCGTCAGACACGGGCACGGCGCGCCGAGCACGAGCACGGCACGGGGCGCGGGGCGGTCTCTGGGGTCGAGCGTGTGTCGGCGCCGCTCCGCTCTCCGGGCACGGCCGCGCTCGCGCCTCACTGGACCAGGTATGCGGGCCTCGCGCCGCTCCAGTCCGGCCGATTATGGAGGCTCTCGGTCGGCTGGCCGCGCCGCCCCCTACATGAATAGAGGAGAGTTTGATGGGTTTATGGGGCGGTACCTGTTGCCGAGCGCGCCCGCTGATTGGCCGTCGGCGGCGGTCGCCGGCGGCTGGAGCGCGCTGATTGGTCGGCTGGGACAGCGGCGTGAGAAGTAGCCGGCGGACAACGCTAATGCGGCCCGATGGTTTTGCAATAGAAAGTAATGACATGGTTGTTTGGCGCGGGAATCTGGTCGACCGCCTCGGCAGCACATCGCGGCCCGGTAATTGTTTGGAGAATGGAGACACAACAGAGCGCTGGTCGCTTTAGGATGAACCGGGCGGGGCCCGCACCGCACCAACACCCACTGATAGATGAGGCCCGCCTGTGAACGACAAACTATAGACAGCGTGTCGAACGGCGAACATGTGCCCGGCTAACCGACCTCCGTCGCCGGGCCATTCACTGTTATGAAAAGCGACTAACGAGACGCTAATGGCGTTTTCACGTGCTATCAGATAGCATTGATGGATAGCACTATGCACTGGCTGGTTAAAGTCATTACAATAATGTAACCGGCTAGTGATTGATCAACAATTACAGAAAAAGAGTATGTACCTACATGACTAGTTCTACGCGCTAAGAACCAGCGATACCGGTAGAATAAAAATGTTGACCTATAGTTCCTGAGCTTTTACTTTACTTGTCATCGCATGCAATTATATGACATTACAAGTCACAAATTATTTTTGTGCTTTAAATACTCATACTTGTACTAGGATTTTTCAAATAACAACAATGCTTTTGCACGAATGGGACCAGGCATGCACACAATAATTCACATGGATTCGAGAGCAATTGAGCAATGCATTGCCAGTTACGATCACCATTCACCTCACCTCATCACCCTTCGTAATGTTTTCGTTGTGATCACCTAACATTTGAAGTCATTTTTCTGGCCTCCAATGAATATAGTCTGCGTATCAGCCGAATCCTTGGGTGTGCAATGTGCAGGGGGCACCGCCATTTTTTACTATGCTAGAGTAACAGCAACCTATCAGCTGACAGCTCACCCTAATAGGCTGTTTATGTTATCATGCATTGTTTGGATTGTGCATGGTAATTTAATTGGTAGCTTTATCAACAGAAAATAGTTATCTGCTGTCCTTTGCAAGTCGTCAAATTAATGACCAGAATAGGTTGGATGTTGTGCAATGTGCAGCATTGATAGATATTGTGTAAGAGGTACCTATTGTGCATTGCTTTCAACTGCCGAGTGATTAATAATTCAAACTTTTAGCGGCCAACATTTTTGCAGCTGAGCTTGGGTGTGCAATTTGTTGGATTATTATCCCAGTGGATATTTGCACACATTCTAATCAATACCTATCTACGTTTCACTGCCGTGGTACCTATTTGATTACTGTATCTATTCATCACTCAGTCTATAAGTCATAGTCCGTAGGGCCGGCAATTGCATGATCCGTTCACGATTTATAATTCATGATCTTCAGTTTTACCTCGTTCATTACCTCATTTGACTTTATTTCTGATGCTCAGTTTTACCTCATTCGGCCAGGTACGGGATAGATGCAACCCCTCCCTATTTTTTCTTCACAAATTCTAAGAAATGGATGCTCCTGAAATATCCCACTTGGTTATATCGAGCATAATTTTTGACGACTCTGACACTAAAATATCTAGGATGTTTGTCCTCAGTTTCACTTTATAGCGTCAGCTGAACAATGAAATACAGGATCTAAGTCACTTCAGGGTGCCGCTTTTTATACTTTACAATCGCCTCTGGTCCTCTCAAAAGTGTCTTACGTATTCATACCGTCACTTCAATAAGGCGCTTTTTCAGCTCCCCTGGCCATTAAAGTCTGACCGGCGGCCGGCAGGAGGGAGGCGTCGTGCCGCCCTCCCCACCACCGGTCATTCGGCAAGAGAAGCGGCGCGCTGACCGGCCGGAAAGGGAGCATTTCCGCCGGAAGTGGACATCTTCCGGCGGCGATCTCGCCCCGGGCGGCGGCTGCCCCTCCGTGCAGGGGTGCTGGTGTGAATTTACGGCACCTGGGGTGTGCGTCCGATGAGGAACGGTCACGATGGGTGTGTCAGAGATTATTGCCCCGCAGTGACCCCACGCGCTGAGAGAAGTTGAACTGGGGAGTGTTTGGAACAGGGAAGAAAATAGCTGTTCTCTATCGTCTACAGTGAGAGACGAGTACCTACCTGTATAACATAGAGCTAAACAAATGACTTAATATTATTTTGTTTGAAAGGAGTATTCACTTGTGGAGACTTATTGTGGGGAGAAGGAAATGATGGTCTATTCAATTCCATGACAAAAAATGTATGACCGGTAGACCTAAACGCGCTGGTTGAAAATGAAATAGGACGTTGCAAGCCAACTGACCGTTGTTTGGAAGGTAAGTGATACTCCAGACATTTCTGATATTGTGTTACGGCTCTACCGCGTACAGTGGCTTGCATGCCAGCGACTTCTCACTTGAACAGGTACTGGCCTACTCCATACGCCCAAGGCACTCATTCCTGCCGTCGAAGAAAATTAATGAATTTATTGTTTCTATGGAGTCACCAAACGCGGCTCCCCCCTCCCCCCCCCCAAAAACTGGGGCGACGTTGCTATGGTTTCTCTAGGACAAGGTCGAAAAGGGCCGTGCCTTAGAAAGTGTTAGCAATTGACTCGCACATTAGCGAAAAGGCCTAACGGACGTTTAATGCTGCGCCGGTGAAGAGGCGGCAGTGTGCGCCGGGGGCCGGACGCCCCTCCCACCTGTGCTGCTCTCTGCGCGGCGCGTTCCGCACTCTGCGCGCCGCCATTGTCACCGCCGGCCGCGGGGGGCCTTTGTAGACAGTTCCGGCGCGCCGCCGGCGTCACCTGAATGCCGCCTGGCCGTCTTTGACGCAGCGGCGGCGGCGGCGGCGATCGGGCCGCACCTAGTCAATGGCGCGCAGGAAGTGGTCTTATCGAGAGCGGCGCAGAGACACTGGCCGGGCATGGAGCCGTCACGGGTATCAATGCGCGCCGCTAAATAGCCGTACAAACGGTGTCAAACGTCGGCCGAGCGACAGCCGCACCCAGAAATGATGACTCCCGCTGTCTATGAAAGAGAGATCGGAAGCATTAGGCAGGTGGGATTTCACACAGTGACACGGGACATCCATAAAGTGACGCTCGGTCGAGAGGTCGGGCCAGGCCGGGCAGAGGCCGCCGGCCACCGCTGGAGTCTGCGCTTGACGGTAGAACGGTGCGATATAAATGTGATAGGAGATGGAGCTTTCCTTGGAGGCACTATGAGAATGGCTCTGACTCGTAAGAATGGTGTGTAATGTTCATTGAGGGGGAGGAGCGGGTGGCGTGACTTGGTGCTTACTCCAGGGTCACCTTTGGTCACATTCATAACGGGTGGCGTATTTACGTGAGACAAGTGCATTCATCGCCTCCATCAGAGCTCATTGCTTAGATCGGGTGAGCATAGATCGCAGGTTCACTGCACTCGCATGATGCACGCATTTTGGACGCATTATTTCTTACGTGACTAAGCTCGGATTACTTTTGTGACAGCAAATGCTTCGATATTGTGCCAAGTAAGTTGGTTTTAAGTGTGTCCTTGATTATACACACAGAAAAATATTAACACCGTTAGCGGTGTAATTGCACAGTACATATCTGAGCACTTGAGGAAAGTTAATTTAGTCCCTTCCCCGCTTAAATTACTCGCGCTTCTAAATGAACACCAGGAAGAAGCTAATAGAACACTGTTAGGAGGGTTGGGTGTTTGACTACATGTAGCAAAACACCCAACCCTCCTAACAGTTTTCTATTACCTTCTTCCTGGTGTTCATTTGGAAGCGCGAGTAATTTAAGCGGGGAAGGGACTAAATTAACTTTCCTCAAGTGCTCAGATATGTACTGTGCAATTACACCGCTAACGGTGTTAATATTTTTCTGTGTGTATTATCGGAGCTTCTAACCGTTTTCTGTTAACTGTGGCAATCAAATTTCTTAAACTATCAGGTGTTATATTGATATTTCTGATAACTCGAGCCTTATCTTAATCTAATTCTATCTAACCTTTACTTAAGGCAAATATTTATCCACTAATAAAGCGCTTTTTTACCTTTCAATACAGTACTTTAACTACATTTTTGTGTAGGAAGAACGTCCGCGCTCCCCGAGCGCTGTTCACCCGTCCCTCCATCACCCAGTCCACTCCTCTAACACAGGCCATCAGTGCAGCGGGCTGCCGATCGCACCGGCGTCCCGACTCAGCGTAAATCCCCTATCGACATCGCCGCACGGGCGCCAGATGCGCCGCCGACGCCCGTCACGTGACCGGCGCCAGTGTTCCGGAACGCCGCCGGCCGGCCGGTCACGTGACAGCGCAGCCGGTGAAAGGCGCCGCGCCGGGTAATGCCATTAGCCGGGAGGCGGCTGGTCACGTGATTGATTGCAGCGGTAGTGATCACGATGCGGCCACCAGCGATCGGCGCCGGTAAACAGAGCCGGTGGACGGTGGACAGACCGGTGGAACGGTGGACAGACCGGTGGAGCGGTGGACACTGGACAGGGCAGAGCCGGCAGATAGCAGACCAGTGGGACGGTGCAGACAAACTGGTGGAATGAATCATTCCACCAGTTTGTTGTGTTCGTCCATCATTCCGAATGATGGACGAACCGATGTAACGGTAGAGGGGTCTGGAGTAGCCAAACGCCATGGCTATTCAGGTTCGAAGTCGCGAACCTGAAGTCGCATGCGAAGTTGCGAAAGCGGCGTAATTCGCCACGATAATGTGTAAATACTGGATAAGTAGGAACTGAATAGTGCGTATTAACCCGCGCCGTGCTGGGGGGGGGCGTTTTTACGCCCCCCCCCCTCAGGTTTTTCGCGAATATCTCAAAAACGGCGGCGCGCAGCGCCGCCGTTTTTGGTACACGTGTTCCTACATCATTTCCGCACATGTTGTGAAAATTTCAGACCTAGGCCGTTCAAGGTCAGGTCACCAGGTCACGTCAAGTGACCTTACCTCAGAAAAAGTTCAAAGGCTCGCTATAGCTACACCGACTGAACGATCACTTTGAAACTTTCAGCGATTGATATGAGTAACAGTATGTATAAAATGTATATCTCGGATTTTTGATATCTGTGACCTAAGGTCAGGTCAATTTTGCGACCTCTCCATTATAAGTCAATGGGAGAAAATTGAAATGCGCCTCTTTTGGACGAATATCGTTCAAAACGCTCTCAAACATCGGTTCATAGGTAAACATGACACACTGAATAGGAAAAATGCACCTGTGACCCCTCTGTGTGCCCCTGAGGTCATCTCAGGTCATGAATGGTCGCCAGCAGTTTTTTGGCTATAACTTTTGATAGAGACGTGCTAGAGCGGTGAAAACACGTCAGATGTGTTCAGCTCGACGATACGGATCGACTGATATGCAACATGACCCTTTTCGGTCAGGTCATGACCTTGACCTGAGGTCAAATTTTCAAAATGACCTTTCAAGGTCAACGAATAGTTCATTCGACGCGTCTCGACGAGAGGAACACGATGCTGGCAAAAGTAATGTCATGGCGCTTATGAGTCAAAAGTTATTGACGAAAAAACGTTTTTCGTAAAAACGGCTATTTTTGGAGTTTTTGCCCTCTGGAGGCTAAACCGTTGACCTGAGGTCAAATCTGAGAACATTACTCAGAAAGGTCTGTAAAAGGGCTATCGAATGCGCTTTTCCGCGGCGCTGTAGCTCTATCGGTTCCCGAGATAGCCGTTGGCAGTTTCCAAAATGTTGAAATAGTCAACATTTTACCTTTGGTGACCTCTGGTGACCTGACCTTTGACCTGACCCAAAAAATGACCGAAGTGTTTTCGTCCTTATTTTTGACGCTCTTTCGATTGCCGCTTACCGCGTGTCGCTACGTGGCCCAGGAGCCGAGTTAGACGGGGGGGCGTGAAAACGCCCCCCCCCCAGCACTCGGCGGAAAGTTCAGGCCACCAGCACGGCGCGGGTTAAATGGCATATGCTCGTAATATTAGATCACAACTACTTTGACCATAACAACTTACAACGTTACCTTTGCGTAACATCATGGTGCTCCCAAATCCCGACGAATCTGTTGGCACAATATGATATATTAGTTATTATGACGGCCGACTCGATATTGAACCTGTAGTGGGGTGATAGGAAGGTTACCTGCACATTGATGTTTGGTATTGCTTTTCACCAGCATATTAATCTTCATATACCATTAGTCCATGATATCACCCTCGGAGACATCTATTCCTCCATTAATCTCATCGCTATCCAATCCAATCAATGTGCCTTTCATGGCAATGATGGTGCAATTCTCAGATCCCGTCAGTCAATATCTTCCTCCTCCTCCTCCTCCTCCCCCCACTCCCACACCCCCACACCCCCCCACACACACACACTCACAGATCCTTGACCCCTTTACTGCTCCGCCCAGTCCAGATTTCGACCAATCATGACATATTACAATACCGCCCACCCACCGCATGCACGCCCCTCCCCATCGGAGAGGGGGGGCTGCCGGTCTGTCGGCCCATTCCCCACACTTGCTGCCCGGCTATCTTATGAACAGCGTTCGCCGTTCTCTGCGGTCACCGTCCCGAGAGCAGCATCCCTTTGTTTTTTACCGTCTCCGAAACCCATCGTCCGGCGGCCGAAACTCTTTGGCTGACCATTGGTCGCAGATGTCGCCGACCAATAACGTTATATCCATCATATTGGCGGCTGGCAGCCATTTCATCTGCGCAGGTCTGAATTGAAATGGCTTGTTGATGGGCGTCGGTCGGCTGGCGATCGGTAATATGCCGCAGGCGCTGACCACCAGGCTGCTGCGACGGAAACGACGATGGTACGACGGAAACGACGAATGTACGACGGAAACGACGATGGTACGACGCCCCCGATCGTACTAAGGAACGACGATCATGCGACGATCACGATTGTAGTTACTACGGGAGCGACGATCACGATTGTACGATGTGTATGAGGTAGTTACTAGTTATGTTATGACTTATGAGAGATGATTTGATTGGAGAGATAGTATGAGGGGAGAAGTGGTATGATGAGAGAGAAGGTGCTGGGAGAGACGGTGATGGGAGAAGTGTTTGATGAGAGAGATCGCGTGATAGAAAGATGATATGATTGGAGAAATGGTCCTATGAGGGAGAGATGACACGCACCGTCACTCAAAAGTTCCCCAAAGGATATCCAGATAGTGTGAAGTCTACGAATTTTTGTTCATATGTCCGGTGCAGCACCAAGGCTGCTTTAATAGGGCAGTTCTTGTTTAGTATGGAAGATGTTTTGGTGTTAAAATTAGGGATTCCTAAATGTTTGAACGCTTTTTGACGCATTAACTCTTTCATGTCATATACATAACTGACGATAGCCTGCTTACGCTTTTGCTTTACGGGCCATACGGGTCACCTGTACCCATACTTTACGGGTCATAAGGGTCCCATGACCTGTATAATTTGTGAAAAAGGCTTTGTCTCAAATGGTCACTCTACTCATGACTTGTCCCAGATAAACCTTGCAAGAAATTCTTCTAAATAATCTTGAATCTACATTTTACAACAGCACATTTTACACTACGAACATTCGCTTGTTGCAAGCAATGCTCGTTTATAATTTTTCGAGTTATCCGTAGGAAACTACTTCAATGTGGCTGCTATAGTTTCTCGCCGTGGTCTACTGCGGACCATCCATGGATATTTTACACGTCATTTTCCATGTCGTGCCATTCAAGTGTGGAACAATTACTCGGAGTTGCATCCTAACACGTCGCAACGTCCCCTTAGCGAATTTCGCGTCGCAAATGCATCGACATCTGCTGGCGAAGAAGGCCACTTGCCCACACTTGGGCCACTTTGGCGCACTTATTTTTCATAAACGCCACCATATTTTATGTCTAGTATGGAAATTTGGCCCATTCAGTCAGATATATCGTCGTCGTGTTGAGCTGTAGGATTAGTCGCCTGTAATTTGCTCCGCGCGGCACATCGTTCAAAACTTGTCTTTTTAATAATTTCGTAGATGAATGAGCCTGGTCCATGATGATTTGATGGCTTTTATTAAAATTTTTAGAATGAATTGCAGTGTTTTCCAATTCTAATTGCCAAACTTTGTCGCCGGATTCAGTTGGCGGCGCGGGACACGATCTGCCCGACACCGCGCCAATGTCCCCGGCCGTTCTGGAGCAGAAAAATCCACTATTAAACATGATGCATGCCACCGTATGGAGCCCGTGTCAGGCCCGCCACAGAGACGCGCTATGGAGCCGCCACTCGCGACCGCGGCCATTCGCAGCATATGTCATTCCCGTTCCTGTCACTATTTGAAGCATATAGATATCCCTATTATTCAAATGAGCCGGTATCAGGCAAATGTTATTGGCGAGCATAACTCTTGTTCTCGTGCCGTCCGAGTCGTTCCGAGGCAAAGTTGCGATGAATTGGGGCCACTGGGACCGTTATGAGTGTCGGCTCACGTTTCCGCCATTTTTCAGCGACCTCGCCGTCTCGGGTCGTCGTTTTCATGTTTCTCGCACCGGTCTTTGTGCGGCTTCCTGGGGATGTTCGGTCTGTAGCAGCTCTCCAGGAAGTGAGGAGACAGTGCACTTCCTTCCTGGCACGTTGAGGGCAATGAGTCTGAGCCTTAGCCTGCCATTGAGCCGTTTGTACTAATATTTCTATTATATAGGTCAAAACATCCTTTCTAAGCCGAATGAATAAAAGGTACCGGACACGGGCTGCCAATGTGATATGGAATAATGTAAAAGTTATTTGTATCTGACTATATAGTTACATCACGAACTCGTAAAATCCCTGACCAAGTCGCTGACCCATGCTTTTTAAAAAGCTCACTTAGCCACCAAATCAAATCCCAATCAATTCACTGGAAAGGCAACACCCTAACCAAGCCACACACTGACTGAAAAACTCAGCCAACTGAGTGGCTTACCAAATACCAGCTGTAACGAACTCACCATTTCACCAGCTTGTAAGCAACACACCTTTTCACAAAGCTCTTGCAGCTCACGAACCCACCCCATTTATTGACTCTCTGACGGCTAGCCTCACATAAATAGTACTTTATGCGACCTTCACCTCGTTTAAATGTATTTTATGTCTCGCTCGACTTGTTTAAGCACGAGTTTATAAATGAACGAGTGAAACGAGTTCATTTATAAACGAGTACTTAAACAAGTCGAGCGTGACATAACATACATTTCAACGAGGAAAGGTCGCATAAAAGATATTTAAATGATTTTTCCCGCCGATACGTCAATCAAGTCTTACTATCTTTGAAAAATAGTTGTGTAGGTGCAGCGGATCGGTACAAAAGGAAGAATAACATTGTTAGTAAATGAAAAAACAAAGAACTTATAATGTAAGACGAAAACCATACAATTTTCCATCCTCTTCCTTCCCCTCACACTTGGGGAAAATGTGGGAAACCGGGGTTATGGGTGGGGGGACATTTATACACATGTGCTGAATAGGAGCCGCAATTCCATCAGCATATAACCATCCATTTCTGTGTGCTCCTTGTGTCAAGTACGAATACAAACACGGTCAAATACTTGACTTATCACAGAGGACTCGGATAGGACTCGGATATGGTGATAATTTAATAGTCGGGGCATTCCACGATAGATCGACCAAAAAAAAAAATTAAATTGACA